TAAATAGAGCAAATAAGATTATCTCCTTAAAGCCTCTTGATTTATGAGGGGCCCCTGTACAAGAGACGGAGATGAGGGAGGAACTTACTGATTGGTTAGAAGCTACCAACACTTAAGTCATGTATAAACACACACACTCAGTATTGCATTACGGTTTGGAGTGGACTTTCACCACTGGAAAACCTGCCATTGAAACCACTATGTGTCTATTTGAATGAAGCTCCCCTTGTTACTCCTGCCTCACATTTTCATTCGTCTTTCTCAGCATTGGCAACCGTCGTAGACAGGAAGAGGTTTAGCTCCTGTTTTGGACCATAAGAAGAACTTTTCACCAAAGTTTGTGCACTGAATTAGTGAACCACTCGTCTGAAAGTGAAGAAATTTCAGTGTCATTGTTGCACACATTACAGCAGAGAAAGAAGGAAATACAGCAGACAAAATAAACAGCAGACAAAAGCATTTTAATATTGATTCACAAATGTGGCCATTGGTTCATTTCTGTTCTCAAAAAAATGACCAATGTTGTTGGTCAGGATACAGGTAAAGGATATAGAAGTTGCATCATTAAAACCTGCACCTCATGTAGGTGGCTTAACTTCTAAATGAATGAAATATTAAGTGTTAATCTTTAATGAATAGTTAATCTGGAATGTGCTATGTTGCACCCGCTGCTACTTTTGATATTTAATGAAGTTAGGCTGAATGGGAACAAAAGGAGTCGGGGGTAATACAAGAGAACAAACTGTGTGTGCTGCATATTACCGACTAATAATCAAATGTTAATTAAAATCTTTTTTGGTGAATAATCTCCTCTATAGTAATGAGTTAAGGTTTAATTAGGGCTAAGTGGCAAAACGGAAGATGGAAGCATGCTAACCTTCGGTGTAAACACTTCGCTTCTTAATTTGGGGAGTGAGTTATTTTCTACTGCAGAGGTTCAGAGGGAAACAGCAATTAGAGGTGATAGGGTTGAGGTGGACTGTCCTAATGAGCACTTTATTCGGAAATACCATGAAAAATAAGCAATCAATGGCAATAACACATCTAACTTAAAACAATACTAATCTCCTTCTTGAACCGTATCGGAAACAGCCCCTTCATTAAGCTAATAATCCAGCGAGTGTAGCATGATTCACCAAATGAAAATAGCATCGCCAATTTACTTTTTCAATTAACTAACTTTGTTCACTCACTAATCTGTTTCAATTGCTTTTTCATTTAGTCGCCATTGACAACATTATCTGGAATTAGCTTGAAATGGGAATTTAATGCATTCCTGACAACTCAGTTCGGTTCAGGGCAAAATTCTCGATATCGAATCACTATGAGATATACACAGGTAAAACTTAATATCAGAAAATTGTTCAAAAGTTCATTTATTTATGTAATTAAAATTAAAATGTGAAACCATAATATCCAATATAGACTCATTGCATGCATTGTGAAATATTCCAAGCCCTTTTTTGTTAGAATTTTAATGATTATGTCTGACAGTCTATATACAATTACTATTCAAATTATCAAGAGGTTTTCATTTATTCTCTGAGCCAATTATCCACATTTTTAACAAACACAGATTGAGATAACTCACTTTGCGCGTCATGCAAGTCCGTTATATAATACTTAAACATTGTAAGTCGAAATACAGAGGTAAATGGACGTATGTATTCTCATTTTCCGCGTTGCCAGATAAAAAAGAATCCACAAAAATCTGACTCAAGACTATACGCCGGGAAATTCTCTTTGCAAATATGACCTGGCAAAGTGTCAAAGTGATGTTAATATGGCTTTTCACAAACACCCCTCTGCATTTGTATCTTTGAACTGGAGAAACAAACGCTAAACTGCTCGCAAACAGGGACACATTCCTCTCGCACGTTTTTTTTTCACGGAATCCAAACAGGCCACTGGAGCTGTTTGCTCGAGGTAAACACCGCTCATCGCTGCTGTGATCTGCCGCGCTCGTTTTTACTTATTAATGCATGTTTTTTTCATCTCCACGACATCTAAGTGGGATGAGGCGGGTGTATGCGGCTCCATGTGCCTGCTATGTAAAGCTATCGATAAATCATTACTACTTCCACTAGAATGTAAAGAAGAGTTCTATTGAATATGTTGTGCCAAATATGCCCTGTATCGTTTGCGTTTGCTGCTCTTTTGTCTTTGTTTTGTGTGAATTTAGAACATTTTTTGTATTATTGATCTGTTTTTGATTTGTTTGTTCTACGAAGGCTCGGCTTGTTGCTTAGACTTGCATTCTCCGCAGCGTAGACTTTCTCAGACTGCTAGAATTCTTGTTCACAATTTCAATGGTCAACAATACGTATCTATCAAACTACCTAAATATCTGTTAAAAAAAATGTGTGACAGACCTCGGCAAATGTGATGTTTTTTTTTTTACATCAAAAACTGAGGAGGGGGGTTTGCATAGGTGAAGACACAGCATTTATCCAGCTTAAATAGTCTTTGAAGATCACACTTTCACAAAAGCACTCTCTCTATCTACATAGTGGTTGAGTGGTTAGCCCTGTTGCTTCTCAGCTAAAAGATCCGGTGTTCAAATCCTGGTTGAAACAAGGCCTTTCTGGATAAATCTCTTCACCCTGACCAAGCCAAGCATCAATATCTGTTGCCGTAGTATGGTAACCACTGCTCCTCCTGGCAACAAAGTACTAACTAGTACCTAAATAGTACTAACCATAACCCTAACTTAACGTACACATCTATCTGCACGTCTCTATCATTCATTTTACCCTCCGGAAGCCATCAAAAAAATAATAGTCTTTTATTGATTTCATGCCACGCTCTGAACAATGAAGCCTACTTGAATACAATGAAACATCCTATAATCCTTAGTTCAATACCACACTACAGAATACTCCAGTTAAATCAAGGACATCTCCAGGGAGACAAGAAGGTCGCATATCAACCTAGAAAGAGCTTCTATCCCGACTTACTTTGTGTGACAGCTGTGTGTAACTACTGTCCATTTCGGTCTTGTGGATAATCAGCCTTTCCGCCTGCGTGCCTGCATTAACCTTTCTTATCACGGCTCTCTGAACAACCCCTTTGATACTGTAGCTTTCCAAGGAAGTGGCTTTTATCAGGTCTGACTATTCAAGCTGTGGAATTTAAAGCACGGTCCTTTGCTGTTCCTTGTGCCGGAAAACACCTGCGTATTATCAAAGTTGTCAGACGGGGCTAAGATCTTGGCTTTTTTACCGCCTGACCTGGAAATTCCCGACTGAGTGTTGTTGCATGGCCTGCGAACCCCCCAAACTTCAAGTTGCTCGCGCAGTCCATAGTGATGTCTTTGTGAAGATATTACATATATTTTTTAAACCATGCAGGAGGCTTTGAACTGCATAGCCTAATGTGGGTCAGAGATGTAGCGCATGCATATTCGGAAAGCCTTTTCATCTGCAATTGCAAAGTTAAGATTCCCCCCGGTACACGCTTAATTTCATCGACTTCCCGCGCACTTATTTATTTAATATTCATAACATTCAATATTCTCCGACATGCCAAGCGCAGAGTTCAGAGAGGGAAGGGAGAATAAAGGCAAACTCTTCATTCCAGTAGCATCCTCGTCAAGTCTTCCCTAATGACTGCGTTTTAAGGCGAAGGAGGAGCAGCCTGCGCTCACCAAAGTTTGCACACGTAACATTGAAGTCGCTGAGATAAAAAAAAACAGAGCGCAGAGGATTTTGTGAGAAAGTAGAATAAGATGAGGTGAGATAAGACATCCTTTAGTCGTCCCACTGTGCATGGGGAAATTTCAGTGTTGCAGCGCACATACAGGACAGTAGAAAGAGCACACATGGAGCTGCTATGTTTTTTAGCTAGCTGTAAATGCTTCAAAATCAATATATCTCTATTTAGTTATATACAGAGGGCAGGATAAGTAGATAAAGTGACGTTCAGGGGAAATTGCAGTATTGCACATTGCACATGACTACAGTATTTTCTTATTTACAGATGAATGACATGTACAGGCTCAGCAGTTCTCATTGTACAGTCTGACAGCAGCAGGGTGGAAAGGCCTGCAGAACCTCTCCTTCACACAGCGAGGATGAGAAAAAGCCACAAAGTTGTCTTAAACATGTTCAAGCAAAGTCCCTCCAAAGCTGATCTTAAAATATCATATCATGTAGTAACATAAGACATGCAAGATTCACTGTTTTGATGTCGGGATAAGACTTTAACCCAAAACGTTTATCAAAGATGAAAACAAAATCCACCCTGTCGTCTGCCATTGTGTATAATCAATAGTGTTTTTTTATTATCTTGACATAGTTTGGGGGGGAATGACAGCTTTTCAACACATAAAGGACAATTTTAGACCAACAAAGCCACAGTTTGTAAAGAAACATGGGGAAAATGGTATTGACATTTCCAGAAAGTGGAGCAGAGTTCTAGAACAGAAGACGTTATAGCTCAGTATGAAACCGAAAAGAAAGTCTGGCATGATTTATAATTTTTTGATTAACAAAAAATATGTTTGTATAATTAGTCATTTGTTAAGCCTTTATTTCTGTTGTATTGTGGGAGTTTTGTTTCATTTTATTACACAGTTGCTTAGTGACCAGTGACGTGAAATTATAGATCTGATTTTTATTTTATTTTTTTAAACTAGTTGTAAAAAAGTTGGGAAATCTTTTACAACTAGTCAAAGATTTCTAATACATTTTAAAGTCTTAAATGTATAACATTAAATGCTTTTTGTCTAACCTGTCATAGGCACTTTACGTTTTTTTAATATCATTTGAAGTTGCCAATCCTTTCCAGTGTTGCCTTACATACTCTCGCATTAGCAATGTGCTGCACTCTCTCCGTGTTAAATAACATTTTGACTGAAAAATGATTTGTACTTACAAACTTTTGATGTGGAATCTATTATTAAAAGCATCTTCCTGTCTCTCTTTCCCTTCCCAACCACCATTCCACCCCCTGCCTCCATCCCTCCCTCCCTCCTTCCCCTTGTCTCTTCTATCTTCCAGAATGAGAACTACTCCATCGACACCAGCTACGTGAACAGCAGAGCCCATCTCATTAAAAGGTATGTCTTGATTAGAAACGTTGTTGCCATTGTTATCTGTAATTGTTTTATCTCATTAGGCAACGGTTACACATGGCGCCGGCTTGCATATGTTTCCCGCATGTACTTCAATTACTTTGGAGAAAAGGGTGGGGAACTTCTCTCAGGGAGGGATTAAAAGGCAACACACAGCCACAAAGTGTATTATAGAGTTATAAAGCTGTGGAATGAGATGACTTTCATAATTCATATTTTGAGCTAAACTTGTTTCTGGTCCATAATGGTGTTTATTAGCGGAACGTGCAGAGCGGCGAGAGGGGAAGCAGAAGTTGAGTTGATATAGAGGTTTCTCATGAGGATTCTCTGCTTCAAGATTTCACACGTAAACAAGCGAGGGTTGGTGTCATGTGAGGTGACGAAGCGCACGTTGGTTTGAGACGCCATTGTGTGAAGTAAACAATCTCTTAAGACAGTGTCAAAGAAATGAATAAACTGTTGATCGAGGCTTAAAGCTGAGGCTGCGTACGTACGAATACAAACATATAGTATAAACATTTCACCTATTCACTTCAAGTTTAGTTTGCACAGCCCTAATTGATAACAGCAGCCATTTTGGAGGACTTTTACAACATTCTCGACAACAGATTTGAGAATAAGACAATAACAACGCCGGGAACACAACGATAAAACAAACACATAGGAGCCTTGGGTAAGGCAAGGCAAGGGGAGTTTTTTTGTATAGCACAATTCATACACAAGGCAAATCAAAGTGCTGAAAAAAACAAGATAGAAACAGTCACACAAGGCATTAAAATCATAAATAATCACAGAACATAAAAAAGAAGGATACAAATCCTTCAGTTGTGTGCACAGCTAAACAGAGCTGTTTTTAAATTGGATTCAAACCTAGTCAGAGAAGAGGCCTGTCTCACATTTTCAGGAAGATTGCTCCAGATTTTAGCATCATGAATCTTAAAATGCAATGTGAAGGATAGTGAGGTGACCTAGGTCTGTAAGTGTGGGGAGACATACATTTCTGTCTTTACACTTTCTATGGCATGGAAAAAACACCTTCTAGCTGTATTTGTTTTGTATTTTTTCTATAGGGGAAGAATTTGGGTGTAATATTCAGTATAGGGGGTTTTCTGTGTGACAAAAATAAAATAGCTGTTTATTTGTGTTAGTGATTCTGTGCCATGTATTTGCTCTCCTATATACTTCTTACATTTTCAAACAAATCTTCTGTCAACATACCAACTCAACACAAGTTTTAGATTTCACCTTGAATTTCCAAATCTGATACTGCTTCCTGCATTTTTTCCCCTTTTGCACTTATCTGTGGAAATCAAATCGCGAATGCGTTTTTAGCGTGGCAGGATAAACCAGTGGAATGCAGGTCAGGATCCGCAGAGGAGGTCACATGATAACTCCGAGACTGTAACCAGAACCATACCTGCACCGCACAGTCCACCCTTTGTTACCTGCGGCCGAGAAGCACAACGCTTTCTCTTTTGTCCCTGTCCGTCCTTTGCTCCTTTCAACAGCCATTATAGCAATTTCTGTGCCTTAAAAGAACCCGCCCCCGTTATTCGCATTAATGTAAACAAAGCACATTCAACAGTGTGCGGGCCTTTACTACAAAGAGCGGCCCTCAGGAACCGGCTCCAGCCCGGGGGCCAGGACAGGTGCAATTACAGCGATAACATCAGAGGCATCAGCCGCAGAGCCCCCTTTCCCTCGCTGCGCAGCGGAGGAAGGTCTGGGAATGCGGCTAAAGTTGGCACCGCCGTGTCCTTCAGCCCGCCTTCACCTTGCTGTTTGTTTGCTCGCTTGTGTTTACTTCAGCCACTCTTCAATCTCCCTGCGGACCCCCGCGCCGTTCAATATGAAAGCATAGAGATTTGAGCGGATAGATAGAGCTCTCTGTGGTGAAGAGGCAGCATCTTAAAGACAGAAATATGACAGCGTTTTTGTTTTCAGGAATTTTATTATGTGTTGCTGTATCATACATAAATCAACATTGTACATTTCGATGATATCCAGGCACAATGTTAAAGCTGGGGTACCTAACTTTCAAACGTCAAAAAGATTAACCATGTATTAAAATGATATGTTCTCAATTTAAAGTCAATTTTGTTCTAGCATAGTTATATGGTGCAGACAGAGAACATGTATATATATGTTTTTTATTTTGGTGTAGATCAGATAGGTGCCATTTTCTAGATCCGGATAGATGTAATTTTCTTCTCCTTGAAACTGAATGCTAGCTAAAACAGGGGTAGACATACATGCAAGAATCAATATATAAATTGCATGTGCTTGCTCTAAGATAAGAGATCCTTTATTCTTCCCACAAGGGGGAAATTTCAATGTTGCAGCGCACATACAGGACAGTAGTAAGGCAGGATAATAAAATAGCAAATAATATTTTGAAGTTACAGTATTGCGCATTACACATTATTACAGCGTTGACTATTTACAGGAGACTATGTACAGGCTCAGCAGTTCTCATTGTACAGTCTGACTGCACTGAGAAAAAGGTTTTAGTTCCTAAGAAGATGTTGGTGCACCAAGAAGTACATCTGATAAAAACTACGCGCTGTCCGTGTTTCCAAAGCATCATGTGGAAATCAACCGCTAAACATAACCAAATCCTTTCATAAGTTCCAGGCCATAAATGATTGACAGAATACATAATTGACATGTGTCTGCGATTGCGACACTCAATATGCTGTCTATCAGAACACACAGATGGATAAATCCCATACTTCTTCCTCCTACGGCGACAACACATGTCTGAATCTTCACCCTATTTAGCGTTGTTTGTAAAGCAGAATTTGTTCCAGTGGGATGAAAATCAAATGAAGGGAAATCACGCTGTTCCTTTGCAGCTGTTGATTGTGGCGCCCCCTCCCATGCACCAGCATCTTTATTGACTGCGGGTCCCAGACAAGACAGATGCTCCGTTTGTGCGCCCGCATCAGTCTTCCTTGAAATTCCCGTGTTTGTTTGTAGTGAGCGAAGGCCTCCTGTTTGTGTGATGCGATGTCCTTGAAGCTCCGAGCATCCATCCACAATGTCCGGTCCTTTTACCAAATCAGTCCTATCACCTGCGGTTATCTCGTAGGGTCACTTCAATCAAAAAAAAAGACTTTTGCTACAATGTTTTTTTCTGCCCCAAATGCGTAGGCAAAACTAAAAAATAACTTTATGTGAGGACGACAATTAGGGAAAGGACAAATCCGTAAGAAGTCAAAGAGTGTTTTCCATCTAATGCGGATCTTAAAAGGCTCATATGTTCTCCTTTTTGGCCAAATTATTTTTAGACACCTCTGATTAGCCGCCAAGTTTTTGACATTCGATACCTCATATTCAGACACAACTACTTTATTCTTGACTTGAAAAGTGTACTTACCACTGGGGTAGCTTCATATATTAGATAATTACAGTACATATATAGCCAATCAGACCACATCCTGCTGTCTTTATGTTAAAAAAACATTTAGCATACGTGTAAGGCGAGAGCTGATTGGCTGAGTGAGGGTGGTCCTGCATTTTCCATGTTTCTGTGTGGAAAAGCTGATTCAAAGACGCGAAGGGCCAAAAAATATGTGCATTGTTTTGACAGTTAAAAGCTACTTGGATGGATTTTTACGTGAATGTTACGTACCCCAGCTTTAATAAACAGACTTGAGAATCTATGGGTTTGCTCACTTCAATATTACTGCTAAAAATATTAATGTTAAAATCTAAAATGATTGACTGGAGACCAAAAGTGGACATAGATGTATAATAAACATCCCAAATGCATTCAAATTATTATTACTGTTTTTATTTTTTTATTTTTTATTTTACTGTGTTGTAATAATGTCCTTCAAGAAGAGTCCATACAACACTAGTTCTGGTATCAACATCCACAGAAAGGCTATGCATATATTTCCACTAACTCTTATCAATATACTCTAAATATTTTGCTAAAAACCTTTGAATAATATATACAATTTAAAATACCCATGCATTTCAAACTTTGATGCAAATCTTGAACCTTAACTAATCAGCATGTGTTAACGCCTTGCCACAACACTCTTTCGGAAATACTGTAATAACAAAATCAAAGCTTTTTTTGCTGTATTCAGAACGTGGCGGTTACGTTTATTGAATAATTAATCAACATACGTGTCTTTCCTCTGCTGGCCCCCATGTAGCACGTCCACCTTCAAGGACCTGGAGGGGAACAGCCTGAAGGACAGCGGCCACGAGGAGAGCGACCAGACCGACAGCGAGCATGACGTCCAGAGAGGCCACTACGTCGATACGGCCGTCAACGATGTCCTCAACATGACGGCCAACCCCAACGTGTGCCAGCTGCCCGAGCAAGGTGAGGAAGCCGAGAAAAGACCCACGCTGTGTGGTGCTGAAGCGAGCAGAGGGAGCGGACTTATGGGGAGATTTACAATGGTTCCTTGGAGAGCAAAGCATGTGTAATATATATATATATATATATGTGTGTGTGTGTGAATGTGTGTGAATGTGTGTGTGTGTGTGTGTGTGTGTGGTGGAGCAGAGCTATGGTCTAGTGTTGTGGTCAGAACGATGCAAAGCTTTTTTCACATGCAAATAAGTTGTTCTCATGTTTTGTTTTGCTTTGTTTTAATGAGATGGATTATTGCTTTCTCCTCAAGATATGTTTTTGCAGGAATAGTATTGATAGCAGAAGATTAGGTCGCTAAAGTCACACCATTAGTCTGAGTTTGTCTCTGTATATACATTCTCTTTACTTTTTTTTCTTTATCTAATCTTTATTTAACCAGGAAAGTCCCATTGAGATTAAGAACCTTTTTTAAGGGAGTCCTGGACAAAAGTTACAAACAGTTACATACAATTACAGATTATAAAAACAGTTACATAGAGTCATGTATGGTCTAATTATTTTATCATAAAAGGTGAGATGGTGACAACATTCCAAAAAATTCCAAAGTACCTCCATACATAAGACTTTTATGGATGATTTTCTGTTTGTTTTGTCATAAACCCAAAAAAAGTTGAAATACTTTTGCAAGCCACTTAATTCAAATGCCTTCCACAATTTTTTTGTCACCGTCTTAGAATGACAAAAAGTAGAAAAAGGAGTTTAATTCAACCACATTTGCACCAGTCCCTGCTTCCCTACACTTGTACGAGTATCTGAATAATTCATTGTGATGAGTTTATAAGCGATTTTCACAAGTTCAGAGTTGTCACAGTTTGCTCACAAGAACTAGAACATTAGAAGCACACCTCCTCAGTCACATTCACACGCGAGCTTTCATTGGATGCGGAGTCCAGAGCCCAGATACAGATCTAAACCTGTGTGTGTGTGTGTGTGTGTGTGTGTGTGTGTGTAGCTTTAACACTGAAATGACTGTCATTTCCTTTCCATTTTGTAATACAAAAATTTGAATGATGACTCAGTGTAAGGACTAAACCGTAAGAATGCAATTTGTAAACACGAAGCCTTTTCCTTTCCATGAAGCCAACACGAAAAGCCTTAAATCGACATACCTTTTTTTTCCGCCTCCTGTTATGTGTCATAACCATGTGCATTATCCCGCATTCAGACTTGCACCACATTTTTTTTTCTTCTTTTGCTTTTGATGTTCGGGCTTGAGCTGCTAATGTAGTGGAGCTTTTTACAGAGGATTCCATCTTTTTGAAACTGGCAAAGGCCTCATTATTGACTGATGGCTTGACGGGTGGTCCGGCTTCACATGTGCTCTCCAATGGCAGCAATTAGTTTCCTAGAGGTACAAGGTGCAGATGTACATAGCTCTGCATGGCTGTCATCCATTTTATCACCCTATAAAGCAGCGAATTCATGATGTAGGTGTTTCCGTTTTGTTAAACTGTGCCCGGCAGAAGTGTGTGAAAGGGGCCGTTGCATATTGTGCGAGTGGAGAAGCGATGGAAGGTAAAATTATCTACTATATTCACCTGAGGGTATTTACCCAGCTACAGGGGGGAACACCATATGCACAGGTGCGATGGCTCACTAAGTCCACAGCGGTAAGAATGCCTCGCAAAGGTAATTTTGCATGAATGAACGAGGAACACGGACTTCCCTGAAAGGAACATGAGATTTCTTCTTCTGACCAATGCAGTGCTCCAGATAAGAAAGCTATATTTAGATTAGCCTCATATAACATACCATTTTTCTTTCGCCCTAGTAAGGCTCTTTCCAATTTCTCTCCTCTGAAAGAATGTTTTATGAGCTTAGACATTAGGACCTTTTCGTATTTGTGTCGGTTCGCTTTTGAATTCGGCTCTACCCTCGCTCGCAATCATTGTAATAAGGGCAGATCAGTCATGAGCTTGTCTTTGGCTTTTACCCACCAGATGGATGACGAGTTATCATAATGATCATAATGAGAATGGTGTTCATTGCTATTAGGGTTGGGCAATGCATTTAGTGAATCCGACCAATGAACTATCTATCTATTATCTATTATCTATTCAAAAATCTTGAAACCGAGTTCAGGATGATGTCAGGATGAAAACTAAACCTTTAAACTTTTAACTTGACACTGTACACACTTTAATCACCCCTTGATGAAAAGCAATTTATTTTTTATTTTTTGGATTTTCTAAGCTGTAAGAGCATCCTAAAGCCTCTTGATTTGGTGTTTTTTTGGGTTAGGGTTAATAATAGGCTTTTACCAAATGGTCGAGATGCAGTGGGATGGTGAAAGGGCCTAAAAGCAAGACATAGAGATGACCCTATGAGGTAGATTTCTGTTCCAAGCATGCTTCAAAAAGATATAGTGATTTAAAAAGTGACACACCAAGCCGATTGGCCGGTTGAGGGAAACACTTTTTGAGGAAATGAAAGGGGGATTATATAAGTCGTCTACCCCTAATAACTATTTAAGAATGACATAGCTGACAATGTATGGAGCTAAAATGTAAATGGTGACTATTGCAATCAAGTCCCTGTTCCCCTCAGCATCATAGGACAATAATGAACAATGAAAAGTGCCTCTGCTGACTATTGGTTGCCAGCAGTAATTACTTTACAGGCTGCGAAAATCCAGCGCCTGTAAAAATGGATGCTGACAGGTCCGCTAGTAGTGGGATCTCATTATTGGAAACAATTAGAAATGATGTACATGAAGAATATTACAAGTGGGCAGCGCTCTCTGAGGCAGTTCTTTTTTTCATTAACACACACATGATTGTATCTGTTTCAGTGGGATGGATGCATGCTTCTTGAATGTGTAATGTGGAACACACTGCTGGTAAACACAAGAGGCTATTTCACTGCCATGTCCATTCCCTTTGACCAATAGATGATAACAAACCGTCTGCTTGGAATTACAATTAGCCTGGTCTACTTTATTGGAGGCTTTTTTTCTGTCTGGCCATCTTCAGGCTTAGTGCTCCATGGACGGCAATTTTCTCCTGCAAGGATTTAACAAAATGGCTTCAGCAGAATCTTCTCCCTTTGTTTGAGAAGTCAGTTCGCGGCGGTGGTCACACTAGAGAGTAATGAGAAGCTGTTCATAATTATTAAATGAATTGGCCAAAGATCCTTACACGTTCAGAAATGTAATGACATAGCAAATGAAATCGTCCCTCTATTACCATCTCAACTGTCTAATTACATGGTTAAAGGCTACGTTAGCTGCCAGGGATGAGCAGATTTAGAATGACGCACAGCTCAGCGTGTCGCGGCAGGAGGACGCTTCAACATCCGTTTGTTAATGTGTCATTTTAGGTTGCGAATGCTCCGGACATTTCTGTAGCGTAAGAAGTCCCTACGAGCTATTATGTGTGGAGTTTTGAGCCTGTGTAATTCCCATATTGTAATACAGAAATGTTGGATTACAGCTTCGAGTCATCCTAATCTGACATTTAAGGTGCCCTTTGGATGGCTTTTCCCATTCCAACATATTGCTTATTTCACTATACAAAAAATTGTCAGCCGGGATATAGACAAGACTTAGAAAGTAGCATCTTGGATTTACAACATTGTCCTATATCATCCTCTATAAAATAATTGTATGTAGTTAATGTAATGACATAACCCTTTAAAAAGCCATATACTGAATGGACAATAGCCTTTTTTTCCGCCATCCTTTGAGGCCCCTTTCTCCTACTGAACGTGTCAAGAGATTGTATTTGCCGAAGGAAAACAAAGCAAAGATAGAAAGTGACTTGTTTTTCAGTCTCTGCTTTTATTGTTCGTGTTTTCTTGTGTTGATAACTGCTGAGAACAAAGGGAATACGAAAATAACAGGATGGGTAAAACTTCCACAATGCAAATGTTTACCGTTCCCACTGCCATGTTAAAAGGTGTTGTTTGCCCAAGAGACAAGCCATTACTTGCAGAACAAATAGGTCGTGGATTTCCATCATCTCGTTGGGCTTTCAAGACAGAACACACGTGAAGAGATGCAGCTGCTAACTAACCCAGTTCCATATCGCAATTACTCACTTGATATCAGTTCATAGTTATATTGGGGAGTTCTCCACAGCCTTATCCATAGTCATTTTTCATGGCAGACTCTTGCACCGCATTGGAGCAGGTTACCAAAAAAATAAATCCCTGGAATATTAGAAATGAATGACACATGAGTTACCCTGGTTTCTGGGACATTTTATTATATATGCAGTTTATTCAAGTTTTAATCTTGAAAAAATAGGCCTGTCATTAGATTTGTGTGATCACGATTAGACAACTAGGTCAAATACAGCCTTTTATTGCCTTTGACAAGCCTTTCTTTTTCTCAGCGTTTAAATGAAATCTTTGATCAGTGAATTCAAACATCTGTATTAGTCTGTGTCAAGGACGTATTCACCTCTCATGCCCAGAATCTAAAAGAGCTACAGGGATCAGGGATGTACATGAAGAACAAATTGTATTAAATATTTTTGAATCTATGCAGGCAAAGCTATATTTAACATGTAATGAACCCAGAGGATCACCAATACAATAAGAATGGATGATATCACGCTGTACTTTAATATGATGAGAAGAATAGTTATTCGGAAAGAATCCCTTTTTATCTTTATAAGCATGTCTGTGAAGTTTGAGGGGATTTGGTTAAAATGTGCATGACATGCTAGCTTTGGCTCTGTAGCACCATTAGTGTCAAGGGAAGGGCCTCCAAGGGGCTGCTGACAAAGAGCGCTAGATCTGGATTTCTCCCCCCTCCTTTGATTGCCATAGCTCACACTTAATTCCCGTTGGATATGGATGAGCCGTGGTTTTTAAGGATTAAGACTGGTGTATTGTTAAATGACTCGAGTTATCTTCACCGGGATAATAAGGCAGAGTGTGACGTGATGGATCACTGTCTGATTTGTGCCGTATTGGTTATGGTTTGAAGAGTGATTTCCAGG